AATAAGTTTAAAAAGGTATATCCTATTCAATTTCCATTTATTTACTCCCAAAACATACATTTCACCCTCTAAGAGAATAATTGATCTACTTTTTCAGCATTCTGGGTATTTCTTCTACTCACTGCATTACAAAGACAGTTCCTTTTTCTCAAAACCTGGCAAAAGAACTTTTGGCAGACGTCTCTGTCTGCAGGAGCTGGAAGCCAGTGTTTGTCTTTTCTGGCTCTTGGTCTAATTCCTTCATCTTTTTTTTTCATTCTACTTTTACTCCTAAGAGCTTCTGGTTATCAAGAATGGTTGTTTACAGAGCTAACATGTACGATGCCTTGGGTTTCCAGGATTCAAAACACCATGTTTTCATGAAACTTGGAATCAAACTTGTGATTTCCTTTTAGCTTTCAACTCCATTTCTCGTCAAAAGCCTCCTAACTGTCATATTGGAGCCTGGATACAGCAATAATGAACCATTTCATGGTGGAGTTTTGGGTGAGCTAACACACTGTCAAAACTCTTTGGTGCTGCCGCACGTTTCTTCTGGCTGTCATCCTTCTCCAGGGCTGAAGGAAATGCAAGTGGTCAGAACTGCAGTCCTGCTTTTCCTTACACCACTGCTGGCCAAGGCAGCTTGTTTGTGTAGCGATCTTTTTTCAGCTGACATCCAGCACCTGGCTTCCACTGTCATCCTGCCCTCTTTGAAAACTCTAGTAAATACAGTGTATGGGTCTAGACAGCACTTTGAATACAATGTGGACTTCAAAGGATATATATCCAAAGTCAGTTCCAGATCACCGCTGCTACGCTTTGGTGCTACAGCCTGATTTGAAAGGACGGGCCTCTTACTAGGACTTTTCTTCTCTTGTACTCGCAGTGTAGCTTAGACTGTTGCTTTGATGAGGTATGTTGCATTTTTCCGTGCTGTTTCAGAGAACTCATCGCATCTTCACGCTACTGATGCTTGGCATCACTTTCTTCTCGTCACACCTCGTCTCCTCGTGAGTCAAAAAGACAGAACTGCTCACATTCATCCTCGATCTTGGAGATGTCATTTTGGAACTGAGGAAGGACAGTTCAGAGGGCTCTGTGAGGGCTCTTGTGGTCTTCTCAGAGGAAGATGGTGTTCTGATGTAGCAGTATAAATCACGATTATGGAAATCTTTTATAAAGGGGAAGAAATAAACAATGAGATTTTGTCTTTTGGATCGGGGCCAAACATTCAGATGATGTCTAGCAGCTCTATATTTTAACAAGAATGAGTGTGCATGCATTTCTTCATCTGGAATATTGACTTGTTGGATGTGGTATTTTGGAAGAGATCCAGAAATCAAATTCTGGCAGTTCAGTCCATTGCTGGAGACAGATTTGTCCCAGAATGCAGTTGTAAATATTCTATTAACTGCTACCCAGTTCAGAACTTTTCTACACCAATTTCTACTGTGTCTTTCTATGAGGCAGGTTTAACAGAAGTTGGCGGACAATATTTGCCTCCTGCTGAAGTCTGGCTGCTCATCACTTCTTCAGCTCCCAAACTTCTCAAGTCTGGATTGAAATAAGGACACATTTTCTTCCTCCTACTCAGAATCCGTCAAGATTTATTTTTTTGCCAGTAGCAATTAATTAATTGCCTAATTATTCTAGAGAAAGGGCGAGTGTTGAATGTGCTGTAGACCTCTCAGGTTAGATCTCCAGAAGTGGTGTTTGATGAGGGACAGGAAACAGAGCAGTGTTTGACAAAAACCTAGCAACAATTTTACAAATTCACACCAAATACTCTTCTGTGGGGTCATTTACCTGAGTGGAATGGAAAATAGGATCATAAATAAACTAGAAACAGAGGTTAGGTCCACTTGAAAATACCAAAATTAGGTTTTATATTCATAAGAGCTCTCTGTATAGAATGCTTTCCTCACGCCTGACTTAAAAATCTATCCGTGTGCCGCCTGACACATCGAATGCGATTTCTACTAGCGAGGGAAGCCTTCCTTAGCCACCAAGGAAAAAGCTTGTATATCTGTCTTTTCCCTATTGCTGGAGTAAAGAGTTTCCAAACAAAATATTGCCTGACATGAACTCATGCCTTAGAAATCCAGTATATCAGACTATTGAAGCAGGACGGACTAAGCTGATGGTAGCCTGGTTTTATCTCTATGCAATAAGGTTTTATGTGGAAGGTCATTTACAAGTGGGAGGAATAGGCATCTGAAGATGCTCAGGTATTACCTGGTCCATCTTAAACTAGATTACAACTAGAGAGACTAACGTTAAGTGTGCCTCAAAGTGCAGTGACAGAGTTTTGCTTCAGTGAGCAATTTTTCAACCAACGTCGTTTCAGAGACCCTATGTATTTTTAAGTACGGTAGGCATCCATCTTGTGTCGTTTGAGTGGTACAGCCGATTCCTCTGTGACAACCATATAGGAATGACTTTGTAATGGTATTTCTGAAATCTGTAGTTTGGAGTGTCAGTTCTGGATACTGATTTCAACAAAACAAAATTTTAAAAACTTGAAAATTTCCTTTTTTGTGAGCAAACAGGTACCTGATAATTAATAACGTGTATCTCTGTGGGCTCTGTAACATACTGATCCATTACAAGCCTGGCATGAGTCTGAAACTATTGCAAGTGGGTGTGTTTCTTTCTCTCCAGTGAAACAAAAAAAACCTTGCATTTAGCCACAAAGATTGTAAAGACTTTTCTGTTACTTTTCTAAAAATGCAGTTTAAAGTGTTTCAGAGATTAGTACAAAAAAAGGAAGATATGCAGTTATATTTTAGTTTAGGTTCTCTGGGATTTGTGTAATTGAATTTGAGTAGTCAGAGTTTATGGTTGTGTGATAAAAATAAATAGTAAACATACATGTTGAATTTAATTTCTGTTACGCCGCTCATTTCTATGAACTATGTTTTACTCTTGGTTTATTTACAAAAACAGCAAAATACTCAAAAAAAGAAAAAGTGCACAGACATGAAAAATCTTTTTAACATGTCATCTCATTAGGTCACGTACACCTTGATGTGTGAACACGTGCTTGAGAGAATCTTTCTTTTTTCTGTTATTTTCCATGGTGGAGACATCGCCAGAGGCTTCTTGTCTCCAGAATTAGGTGACCAGTAGAACAGGTACATTGGCAGAAAACAACCTCACTTGCTATAGCTATCTTCATCTCAGTTTTGAATAACTTCTGAGCAAACTTGTCTGTTTAGCAGCTTTTCATCGATTTTTATTGGGAAGATGTCTATAATTTGGAAGTCTGCATTTCTGAGCTAGAAAGCCGGGAGGGCGTGGGTGCCACTAGTTTCCCAGGTATACACGAGGCATTTGCTAGGTCTGAGGGTGTCAAGACGTAGAGTATTTGCTATTCCTGCCTAATCCAAAATGTTGAACACAACACTGTAAGTGGAAATCCAATGGGGCATCTGTTTTCAGTGCGTGGTTGCATTTTTGTTCCTCAAGTGCTTATCTGTTTTTTTTTGTTGTTCCAAACTGCTGCCTAGAGAAATGCACTTGTCATGAATCCACTTTTACTGCTTTGTTAACGTAGTTCTCATCACAGCAGAACAGGATTTCCTCTGCTTTATGATTATGATTTGTCCTTACTTTATCTTTTGTTAATTTATTATCTTATTTGTGTACTGAAATGTGATAACAGTACCTGGGAGAAAGGGTGTGATCTTTCGAGTTCAATGCAGTGCCTCATGTAATGTGTTAATTTTGTACCTTTTTGAGTTGTCATAACATTACAGTTCTTGAAAAATGGTATTTTAAGTGAAAAATTATGTAAAGATTTGCTTCAGTTCTTACCAGTTAACAGTGCCGTTGCATATCCCTTTTCAATTAGCATTTGTTTAGAAAAATGGTAATTGATACTTTCTGATAATCGATACCTTCCGATCTCTTATCATGAGCTATATTTGCAGGGCACTTGAGAATGGAAAATTATTTTATTGCATCAAAACCGTATTTAAATACACTTATAATTATACAGTTTTATATACATGCAGTATATAATTTTAATACTCGAATGTTCTCCAGTGAATTGCTATGAATAAAGTAGAAAGGCATAGTTCAAAGCAATTTCACTTGCTTTAATTCTCCTAGTCTCCTCTCATATGGTTTTTGTGTATGACCACTATCAGTTCAAGACTCTGCCTTAAGTAAAAGACAATAATTTATTTTATACTTCAGATTTGGTAAAAGGATATAAAAATACCTGAATAAACTTTATAATTCTCTCCCTCTTTCCATGTAAACCCCTCACAGTAAATCTACCCGGTTGGTCTTTTCATGCCAAGTGATGGATATGACTAGACCACCCCAATTATTTACATTTTTTTTCTTTATAAATTGTTGGGGGTTTTTTGTCTGCTAACCTCCCTTGACCATAATATATTTTGCTCATTAGATTTTATCATAGGCATCATCATGACAGGTAATCATCATCATTGTATTTTTTCTTCTGGAGTCCAAAATAATACTTTAAATAATAATGCTCCAAAACCCATGAATGGAATCGGGCTGGTAATAGAAGAGCATAAGGTTCAGATCTACATTTGGCTCATG